GATCAACCGGGCCGGAATCCAGGACCTGTCCCTGGGTCCATAACCCTAGCCTGACGTAGTCCGACTCAATTCTATTCAGAATATGAGTCTGATACTGCTCCATAGAGCTGTGATTATGGGGCGTGTTTCGAACGAACCAGGAAAAAAAATGCCTCTGCACTCAATTGGATAGACCTACAACCAATAAGAGCAACGGAGTGCGTGACGTATGTTAAGCGAGGCATAGTTGTTGTCCACAAAAATCAAAGCGTGCAGTTGCACGCCTAGAATAAGAAGATGAGACTTGATCGCGTTTCTCTGTTCCTCTTTTAAAATTAATTTGCTGTCGATATCTTCTAGAACAGACCTAATAGCAGAATCTACTCACCTAAACTCTCCAGCAGCAGCCATTGTTGTTGTCACCCAAGCACGCATTGGTCACTTGGTTGATTACGTTACTGTTGGTCATCTGTCCATCATCGTATAAAGCCCGCCCTGACAATTTGATTGGATCGCCTGACAGTGGGCGATAATACTCGCGCTACTATGGAGCAGAGCCAAACCGAACTTCCCGACCTCAAACTTTGTGGGCGGGACTAAGTTCAGAATGGCACCCAGGCTACCATAACCCTCCCAGTCAACCAAATACCGGAGCCTACTGCCTATCCTCCCAGACCTGAGAAGGCGCCTGACCGTGAAGGCAGGGCCCCCCTCTCGGAATCCGGTGGGTGGAGGTGAACAGAAGGGAAAAAGGTCTTCTCTATCCCCATAAAAGAAATCCACCAAACCAGACTCAGAAGAAAGGGGAGAAAAATAATCTGGACCAGGCTCCGGGGGTGCTGGGGAGGCAGAGAGTCTGGTGCGTCCCAGCCTATTTTTACCCCTAGAAGAACAAGTACTGAGGAAGTGTCCATCACTGCCACAGTACAGACAGAGATGAAATTTGATTCGACGTGCCCTCTCCTCCTTGGAGAGACGTGCGTCCCAGCTGCATAGGTTCGGGCTCCAGCATCCGATCCGGACCAGTGGCTGACATAGGTGCAAAGGGTGCGGAGTGATGAGCAGGTTGAGGAAAGGCGATAGTTAGTGCTCTCCTCTCCCTGCGACACTCAGTGAGGCGAAGGTCGATCTGGTTGGCAGCTGCTTCAGAGTCCGGGGGTAGTCGTGGGTCGAAAGCTCATCTTTGATGCTTTCCCGCAGGCCAAAGAAAAAAACATCCATTAAGGCGTCTTCATTCCAGGAACAGTCGGCTGACAACAGGTGGAAATCAGTGATGTATTCCATTACTGACCGATCTCCCTGTCTGAGAGTCAAAAGTCCCCTTGAGGCTTCCATACTCAGAAGAACTGGGGAAAAACTCTGGTTACTTCCAAAGAAAAATTATTATAAGAGCTGCAGAGTTCAGGATTATTCAACCACTCTGACGTTCCCCATAATTTGGCCTTTCCCGCTAACAGAGAGATTACATAGGCCACCTTGGCTCGATCAGAAGGAAACGCAGAGGCCTGTAATTCAAAATGAATTTCGCACTGAGTTAGGAAGGCTCTGCATTGATCAGGATCCCCTTTAAACGCTTCAGGAGGGGACAGACGCGGTTCAAGAGAAACTGGACTATGAGTAGCAGACGTGGGCGTGGCAGCTGTCACAGGTGGGGCAGCTGGAGCAGCCTGATTACGCAAATAATCAAGGATCTCCTGCATGCCTGATTCTAGCCGGGAAATGCTTTGATCCACATCATTTCGCCACTGCCCGTCTGCCGATGGGTCCATGTTTTGGCCAGGTTATTCTGTAATGATCTGAGAATATTGGACCCAGAATTCAAGGCGAGACAAGCAGTGGGAACGTTAAAAGCGTTTATCAAAACAGGTGCATGGGACTGCTCGTCTGCTGCGGGGTGGATCTCTGCAGGGATAGGAGAATACAGGTCAGAGACTGTATGTGAAGCTGAATGCTACTTGGAGCTAGTCACTGACCTGATTCAAAGTTCAGTCCGTTCGCGGAGCTTTGACCGCTGTTGCAGCGGGCGACGTTCCCAGAGTTCCTAGAGAGCGAGCAGCAGACGCCGAGCAGCAACAGAGTCCAGAAGGGAAATCCAAGGCCGAAGTCAGAAGACAGTTTCAGGTTCAGAAGCCGGTAGAATCCAGGATCAGATGCGACAAACAGAGCAGACAGGGGGAAGGCAAAACTCGAGATCCACAGGGCAGAAAACTTGTCATAAACAGGGAAGCAGAGAGACTAAAGAAAGCTAGGAAACGTCGTACCAAAACACACGAATAACCTGGCGCTGATGGAAGGCAAACACACAACTTAAATAGTAGAGGGACCAGGTGGAAATGATCGGCGATAATCAGCCGCAGAACCAATTAGACAGGGAGCAAGGAGCAAAGGAAAAAACCAAACCATCAGCGCCAAGATTATGACAAAAATAACCATTTCCATTTCTTTCGTTTTTAAAATTAAATAAAAAATTAAAATGGCAAAAATCCAAACGTGTCTGCTAGTTTAAAGTCCATCTTATTTATTTGAATATTTAACGAAAACATTGCAGATGCCACACACGCACACAAAATGACAGAAAGAAAGATCAGAGCGTTTTAGTTTATATATATATACATAATACCTTTCAAAAACTATGAGTGTTTTTAAAATCTAGTGATTTTTTGAAAGAAAATAAAAGAATAAAAACAGTTGAGGATTTTAAAAGCAATTTTACAAAAAAGGAACATAACAGCATTTTTTAAATAAATGATTTATTATGAGAACATGTATTTATTTATGTTTTTATTTAGATTAGATTAGATTTGATTAGATGAGCTTTACTGATATCACAGCGGAGAAATTCACTCGTCACATATTGGCATAGAAGTTACTGAAGGTGCAAACAGGGAGGAAAAAGGTGCATTAAGAATAAGCATTATATATATAGTATATCCAGGTATATACAGTATATCAAGATACAGTGGGGCAAAAAAGTATTTAGTCAGCCACCAATAGTGCAAGTTCTCCAACTCAAAAAGATGAGAGAGGCCGGTTATTTTCACCATAGTTATACCTCAACTATGATAGACAAAATGAGAAAAAAAAAATCCAGAAAATCACATTGTCTGATTTTTAAAGAATTTATTTGCAAAATATGGTGGAAAAAATGTATTTGGTCAGTTACAAACAAGCAAGATTTCTGGCTCTCACAGACCTGTAACTTCTTCTGTAAGAGGCTCCTCTGTCCTCCAATCGTTACCTTCATTAATGTCACCTGTTTGAACCCGTTATCAGTATAAAAGACACCTGTCCACAACCTCAAACAGTCACACTCTAAACTCCACCATGGCCAAAACTAGAGAGCTGTCAACGGACACCCGAAACAAAATTATAGACCTGCAACAGGCTGGGAAGTCTGAATCTGCAATAGGTAAACAGCTTGGTGTGAAGAAATCAACTGTGGGATCAATTATTAGAAAATGGAAAACATACAAGACCACTGATAATCTTCCTCGATCTGGGGCTCCACGCAAGATCTCACACCGTGGGGTCAAAATGATCACAAGAATGGTGAGTAAAAATCCCAGAACCACACGGGGGGACCTAGTGAATGACCTGCAGAGAGCTGGGACCAAAGTAACAAAGGCTACCATCAGTAACACACTACGCCGCCAGGGACTCAGATCCTGCAGTGCCAGACGTGTCCCCCTGCTTAAGCCAGTACATGTCAAGGCCCGTCTCAAGTTTGCTAGAGAGCATTTGGATGATCCAGACGATGACTGGGAGAATATCATATGGTCAGATGAAACCAAAATAGAACTTTTTGTTAAAAACTCTACTCGTCGTGTTTGGAGGAGAGAGAATGCTGAGTTGCATCCCAAGAACACCGTACCTACAGTGAAGCATGGGGGTGGAAACATCATGCTTTGGGGCTGTTAAGGGACCAGGACGACTGATCCGTGTGAAGGAAAGAATGAATGGGGCCATGTATCGTCAAACTTTGAGTGAAAACTTCCTTCCATCAGCAAGGGCATTGAAGATAAAACGTGGCTGGGTCTTTCAGCATGACAATGATCCCAAACACACCGCCCGGGTAATGAAGGAGTGGCTTCGTAAGAAGCATTTCAAGGTCCTGGAGTGGCCTAGTCAGTCTCCAGATCTCAACTCCATAGAAAATCTTTGGAGGGAGTTGAAAGTCCGTGTTGCCCAGCGAAAGCCCCAGAACATCACTGCTCTAGAGGTGATCTGCATGGAGGAATGGGCCAAAATACCAGCAACAGTGTGTGAAAACCTTGTGAAGACTTACAGAAAACGTTTGATCTCTGTCATTGCCAACAAAGAGTATATAACAAAGTATTGAGATGAACTTTTGTTATTGACCAAATACTTATTTTCCACCATATTTTACAAATAAATTCTTTAAAAATCAGACAATGTGATTTTCTGGATTTTTTTTTTCTCATTTTGTCTCTCATAGTTGAGGTATATCTATGATGAAAATTACCGGCCTCTCTGATCTTTTTAAGTGGGAGAACTTGCACTATTGGTGGCTGACTAAATACTTTTTTGCCCCACTGTAAATAGTATTAAGGTGCATGTGTACATGTATCGCAACCCCATCAAGGCTAAACGTTTAAGTGATAAAATCTGTTAATTTTGTGAGTCTGAACATGAAATGTTTTTTACTATGGCTATTTTTTTTTTATTACAGACCAAGCACACAAACTCTCGATGGATTTTAATGAACACATTTAAAGATTAGCTTAACTTTTGATCCTCAAAGCTGTCAACGGCACTTATATTTCACAAAACTAAAGAAAATATATTTTCTTACATACCTTTTTGAACAAATTTGGCTTATCTCAATGAGGAATCAACTTTGGATATGATTTTAATTTCAAAATCACCAGCCACTGTACTGTCTCTGTCGCCTTTCTCTGGTTGCGCCTCAGTCCGTATCCCCATCTCCAACTTAATTAATTTTATTTTTCATTAAATAATAGAGATGCAGATAATGCAGTCACTATGTTAAATTAATTCATTAACTTTATTTTAATCAAAAACATCATAAAATAGCACAATATCACACTAAGATCCCCAATAAACCTGCTTTTCAGTTGACTGCAGGCCCACAAACGTCACCTTTAGCACGGCAGAGCTCCCAAGCGCCACCTGGTGGTTGTCCGGGTACATTGCAGTTCTTTTTGAAATAAAAAAAACTGGCCTCAGGAAATACATCGTGATTCACGCAGGAATCACGCAGGAAACCGTCCATTTCCAACCAGTACCCACTGTATTTGTATGAAATGTTATGTTTTCTGATAATAAATATCTATAGATGGTCATTTAATATACAAATAATCATATGATATCTTTATTGAACAATGTATTTAATCATTACAGAAAAAAGGACATTCAGCAAAAAAAGGGTTTCAGTGTTCAGAGAGCAGGACTGTTACAGGAAAATATTTTAAGTTTGTTGGATGACTAATAAAATTAATAAAATTTCTTGAAAAATGTATTAATAATTTGGCATATGTCATAATTACTTGTTCGAAGATCAGTCAACAAGTTACTTTGCAATATAATAATACTGCTTTTTTATGATAACATTATAAACTTTCCTTTTCTCTGGTACTCCAGTTTAAAAAAGAAATATTTTATTTTTAACCTTACACAATGTGATTACCATGTTTTTTTTTATTTCATGACAAGTGTTCTTCAATAAAGTAACATGTACATTAGTATGTCTTAGAACTGCAGTACAATCAATTAAAAGTGAACCACCCATATCAATAACAGTATTATGTGTCGTGTATTAAGTGAAATCTTTTCTTTGAACACTACCAACAAAAACTTGAGGTAACAGAGCAAATAAGAGCCATGAAGTAAGTGAGGTGGCTCAAGGTTTCACCACTGTCAAAAATACTGACATCAGTGGTCGTGCTGATAGGAGTAGCAGGGGGGGTGGCAGCACAGTGAAAGCCAGAGTCGCTGTCGATTCCAGGGGAGGTAAAAGTAACAAAGCCTGGTTCCATGCCTGTGACAGTGTCACTGATCCATCTCTGGTACTTGGACACTCGAGTGTAGATCCCAGGTTTCATTGGTTTAGCACAGCCTTCACCAAAGCTCACAACTCCAGCCTGGACCCACATAGAACTATTTTGGTTCTGTACTACCAGTGGTCCCCCCGAATCTCCCTGTGAGGAAAAAAAAAAGGTTGAATGTCTTTAGAAGCTTTTTGATTTTGATTAACTCTTTTCACTTTCTTTTCACTCTCAGTCTGAAGGACAGGATTTATTTATTTTCACTTAAATGTGAAGCATCCCTTAAAAAAGTTTTAAACATTTTGTTGGGCAATTGTATGGGAATCCCTTTGTAATTATTAGCAGCAATCGCACTAAGTTTACTGTAAGCCCAGCATAAGTTAATTGCTAATTGTTGCTCTGTGTTTACCTTGACAACAGACTTGAGATGCGTCTGTAAAGCCATTGCCAGAGGGCACAGAACAATCTGTCCTTAAGGAAGCTAAGTTTCTTAAGTGTTTGCTGCAAGATGGTGCTAATCTTCTATACGTCTGTTTTGGAAAGTTTGAAGTCTTTTTCCATCACCTGCCGGGGTAGTGGCAAAAGCACATATTACTTGAAGGGTATAAAGCTGATAAAGAAAACCGGCTCTGTTCTAAGAACTTCTGACAATGATTTTTAGGAAAAAAAATATTCTGCATCAAAAGATAAACATCGTAGACAAGCCTGAGCATCTCCATTTTGTCTTTTTCATATCTGATGCAAGACAGAGCAATGTGTCCTTTTAGTCAAGATGGCAACAGAGGTTTCTGTCCCTGTACTTTGAAAATGTGTACTTTGTCTTTTTTCCCATTTGTATGCTCCAAGTGCCTAAAACCAAAGTTAAATTCCTTGTTTGCAAATCCTCTCTTGGTCAATGCAGTTGAATCTAATTTTGACCTATGGCTTTACATAGATAATGCTTGTGATAGAACACAATGGATCCTGCATAGACCCATTTACTGCTTGTAAACAAGGAGGGCTTCATCAACAGTCCAGCAACATAAGTATGTTAACTAGCAGAAGCTTGTCGGTCTATGCCCATTCATTATCTGAGAATAATGAGAAAGTTTGACTTTATAACATAAACTTTTTATAACAAATGGCAATTGGTATGCCTATTTATGCGCAGGTGATGAATGGGAGATCATATCTCTCCTATACTAGATTCTCTTCGTTGGCCTCCCGTTAAATTCAGAATAGAATTTAAAATCCTCCTTCTCACATATAAAGCCTTAAATGGCCAAGCTCCATCTTATATCAGAGATCTGATTGTTCCTTATGTTCCTAACAGAGCACTTCGCTCTGAATCTGCAGGTTTACTAGTGGTTCCTAGAATTTCTAAAAATAGAATGGGAGGACGATATATTAGTTATCAGGCTCCTCTCCTGTGGAACCAACTACCAGTTTTAGTTTGTTAGGCAGACACCTTGTCTACTTTTAAGGCTAGGCTTAAAACTTTCCTTTTCGATAAAGCTTATAGTTAGAGTGGCTTGGGTTATCCTGAGCTTTCTCTATAGTTATGCTGCTATAGCCTTAGACATCTGGAGGACATAGGGACCCCCATTTCATCATTCTGCTTCATTCTATCTCTATTTTCGCTCTCTGCAAGATCTGTTAGTTCAATCTCTAACATTATGCTCTCTGCTTTTTCTGATAGTAGCTTCGCCTTGTCTGTTCCTGTTTGGCTGTGACACCATCCTGGAGAGAAATATCAGCTGTGCTGCCGCCATCAACGCCCTTGTTTATAAATGTTGGAGATTGGCCTGTTTTCCATTAAAATCCTGTTTCTCTGTGGTGGACTGGCTGGATGTGCTCTCTTCCTCCTCTGACAAGGGAGTTGGCTCGGAGCTTGTCTGCCTGGCTGTGTGTTTCCTGGACGGGGCCGCCTTTTACAACTGCTATCTGTATCTCTGCTTCTGTCTCCATGAGCCCCAGTTGGCCTCTGCAGATGGCCACTCACACTGAGCCTGGTTCTGCTGGAGGTTTCTTCCTGTTAAAAGGGAGTTTTTCCTCTCCACTGTTGTTACAAGCATGCTTAGTGTGAGGGATTGCCTTTGAGTCAATGAGCCAATGCAATCAACTGGTTTTCCTTAGATAGAAAACTTTGAATCAATTTGACTGTACAGCTTCCCAGTGATTTAGGCTGTAAATTGGTCTATACAATGGGGCTTACTTAAAGGAAAACGCCGTGTTTTTTAAGTTTGGCCCTTGATGTGATGTTATTACATCATGTTCTACTCACCCAAATGAGTTTTGTGTCATTTGGAGCTGTTCTGAAGATATTCGGTTAGGTTATATCCAGTGTGCGAAATAGCTGTCAATTTTTGGGGGTGTTCCCATCTCCCGATTGTTGCGCAATACCGATCTAAATTTTCTCAACATGCAGTAGGCCTATAACATTACAATGTCAAAGTCAAACCAGACATACAAGGACTCGAGAGGACGTTTCTCATTCACCAACAGTGAAACAGATAAAGTGCACAGGCACAACAGAAAAGATCAGTTCCTAATACTAAAATTCAAACATTCAATTTCACAATAAAATATAAAATGTACAATAATATAAAATATGCAATACTTATGCTAGTGCAAAAAGGCAGATGGTAATGGCAGCAAAGAAATATTATTATTATTATTATTACCAATTATGTAAGATATAGCATTTGTAACAGTAACAGTGCAAAAGAACAGTAAATACATATAGTATTAATAGTAGTGCAGGAGATAGTTTGTCCAGAGTTCTTTTTTTTTTTGAGGGGGGCTCAGCTTGCTGACAGCTTTGTGGATGAGGTGTTCTGTGAATCTGGTGGAGCGGGCAAGAGCCTGAATAGACAGTCAGTCTATAAAAAGACAGATGTCCTGCTTTAATTCAGTTTCTGACGAATGGAACTGGGACGAATGGCCCGAAGCATAAACGAACTAAGTGGGGGGCCCCAAAAACGAATGACCAGGCCCATGGTCTGTTTTTTTTTAATATGTTTTTTTTTTTTTATATAAATAACTTAAACAAGTGATATAAATGAATAAATGAATGTATATCAATTAAGAAATGAAAAATTCAAGACAATAAAATTCTGATTTGTCCACAACTGCTCATGCACATGAAAAAAAAAATATATATATAAAAAAAGTGTGAGAGATAAGGGTATTTTGTATATGGATATGTATGGATATATGTGTACGTATATGTAGATAGAGATATGTGTATACTGTCTATAGTTATGTGGGTGTGTATGTATATGCATGTATGTGTGCATGTGTTTGAGATACGGGTGTATGTGTAAGTATGTATGTGTGTATATATATGTATATATGTATGTATGTATGTGTGTGTGTGTATATATATATAGATATGTATGTATGCTTAAACATAGGTAGATGTTAATATAGAACAGGGGTAGGATTTAATAAGTTTTATTACTTCTTCCTACTCCTTTTCGAACATGATGGTATGTACATATGTTTTTTTTTCTTCTTTTTTGTTTTGTTTTGTTATGACTTCATTAATTTACTTATATTTGCTTTTTATTAAGTGTTCAAAATAAATAAATGATCAACATTCTCTTCGCAACGGCAGCCGCGATGGCGCAGAAGGCTCGCGGTATGTGCGTGTCCATTGACAAATCACACTGGCGTGCATCCGTCACGTTAATAAGACAGTCTAAGCCATGTCACAAAAAAGAATGTATCCCTCTTGTGCCGAAAAAAGAAAAGGAAAGAGGAAGAGAAAAAAATAGCAAGATAAAGGTATGTTTGCATGATTATTTACTGACCGGTATATTTTGTGCAGCAGCAGCACATATTGTGCTCACGTCACTTGAGGTAACAGCTAGCTTGTCGTCATAACTCGTGTAGTGATATTTATCAACCATCCATCATCATTAACAGTGAAATATTACCCGTTATTAATATACATTTATCTAGGTAGGTGTGTATTTCATGTGTTGATACATATCGGCGAGGGAGACCCAGCACATGTTGGAGAGACTATGTCTCTAGGCTGGCCTGGCCTGGAAATGCCTGCTTGGGATTTCCCCAGAGGTGAGGGACGTCCGGGCCTCGCTATTGAAGCTGCTACTCCCGCGGCCCAACCCCGTATAGGCGGAAGATAATAGAAGGATGGATAGATATCGGTTTAAGTTGAAGAAAACAGATGCCAGCTTAGCTAGCATTGCTGTTTGTGTTAAAGTGAATCTACTACCTTAATAGACAAAGCACATGCGCTCTCTGCTCTAAGATCTTTGGAGAGAGATGGTATTTATCTTTATTAGAAAATATACCAAAAATGAAAATAGAGTGCAGTTTTATTAACATGGTGGTGAGTGATGACGCAGTGCTTTCCTCATATTTAGGATGCAGTAGATCACCATTTTAAGTTTTCACCATATGGCAATTATGCCTCATTTGCCAACAGAATATGAATTGTTAGGTGACGTGTGGAGTTTCTTGTGGTACAACATGGGCAAATAAACTCATTCTACTAAATAAACTATGCATTATGTAATGCTATTTTTCATAGGAACACTGTTGAAGTACTTTGGAGAACAACCAACTTTACCTGCCCCTAATGTTTCGAGTGTCAGTGCCTCAACAGCTGATGATGCAGCAGGTGAGGGCTTTCTTGATGGCAAATGGTTACATAGCCTGTTAATAGGACAAAAAACATTAAGCTTTTTATTTATTTCTTTATTTTTTGTTTGTTTGTTTTATCATTGCAGGTTCATCCACTGCACAAGCGACTAAAAGGGAAGAGCACTTAGATGTGACTGAAAGAGAGGAGCAGTTACAAGGACTTACATTCACTGATCCGTTGGTTTCAAACTCAGCCGGCATGACAGGTCTGTTAATCTAAAAGTTTTTGTTTTGTGTTGGCTTTACAATTAAATGTTATGCTATGTCATTTTATTCTTTTTTATTTAATCTATCGTCCCTACAGGTCCTTCTACATCTGCACCCACTGCTATAGATTTCCCATCCACTGCCTCAACAAGCTCCAGCTATCAAGATAGATCAACAGCTCCTCCAATTGACACAGTTGAATGGTCAGCATTCCTCTCAGATTTAGAAAGGACTGATCTGGTAAGAAGAGGGCCAGTACCAATCAGTGACACCTCTACATTCCACAAGAGATCAGATGGACGAAGCTTTCACTACCACTATACATACAGACATTTAGTTAATGGGGAAAAAAATCAAGCAAAGCTGGCAAATTTATTCAAAGAAAAGTGATGCAGTTTACTGCCTCTTTTGATAATCATTCACAAGAAAGTCCACAAAGCTGTCATCAGAGGGACTGTGTGATTGGGTAAATGTAGGTGCTTTGCTGAAACAGCATGAAAATAGTCAAGATCATTACAATAAAATGGTGAAGTGGAAAGACTTTACCCTCCGTCTTTCTAAGCAGAAGACTATTGATGAAACAGAAATGGCCCTTTTGGATGCAGAAAGAAATTGTCTTACCTGTGTAAGACTGTCCAGAATGAGCTGATAGAGTGTGTCAGTGACAAAATAATTGAGGTTATGGTGGCAGAAATCAAAGACTGCAAATATTATTGAATAATTTTAAACTGTACACCTGATGTTAGTCACTATGAACAAATGTCTGTTGTGGTGCGCACAGTCACTCTGGGCACAACACCAGAAATAAAAGAGCACTTTTTAGGATTTCTGATAGCTCCAGAATCCACTGGCCTGGGTTTGTCCAATCTAATACTTAACAGGCTTGAGGAATTGAACATCCCTTTTCAGGATTGTCGGAAGCAGTCCTATGACAATGGGGCTAATATAAAGGGAAAAAAACAAAGGTGTGCAGGCTAAGCTATTGGTTAAGAATCCAAGAGCTTTTTATGTGCCTTGCAGTTCCCATACACTAAATCTGACAATGTCAGATGCGGCTAAAGCATCAATGGATGCTTCTTGTTTTTTTTGGAAATGTAGAGAATGTGTACGATTTGTTGGCTGGGTCCACTCAAAGGTGGGACGTCTTAAGGAAGTTTGTTGGCATCACGCTCAAATCCTGGAATGAGACACACTGGGAAAGCAGGATAAAAAGTATTGAAGCTTTGCGGTACCAGTCAGAGAAGGCGAGGGAAGCCCTGCTAGAAGTGAGAGGGAAAGCGTCTGACTCTGTAGTGGCTGTTGAAGCCAACTCCCTTGCGGAAGAGAAAGGTTCATTTAGGTTCCAGATTTGTTGTGTTGTCTGGTATGACATTTTGTCTAAAATTAACATCACGAGCAAGCTTCTAGAGTGAAAAAACATGCAGCTTGATGTAGCAGTTCACCTTCTAAAAAAGAACAAAGGTGAACTTATCAGTTACTGAAAAACAGGCTTCAGTGATGCACAGACATATGCTAAAGAAATTTCTGAGCAGATGAACAGAGAAGCAGTGCTGAAAGAGAAGCGATTGGGTTCTACAAAAAGGCACTTTGCCTATGAGGCTGCAGATGAGCCAATAGTGGATGCTATTAAGAGGCTTGAAGAGTCATTTTTTAATGCTGTAGTGGACTGTAGCATTCAGTCATTGGAGGATAGATTTACATCTCTAAGTGAGGTTAAAGATAACTTTGGAGTGCTGCTCAATTTTAGGGAGCTTGATCAAAAAGTCTGGAGAGAACAATGTGAGCTTCTTGCGGAAAAACTCACTTTTGGAGAGGAGGCTGATATTGATGGTAGCACACTGGCATAAGAGATATAGAGTCTTCTTGAACTTCCCCAAACTATGAAGACTGCCTTTGAGCTTCTCACATACCTCTCACAAAATGAGATGTTTGAGCTTTACCCAAATCTTTGGGTAGCTCTCAGGATAGCCTGCACTCTGCCTGTGACAGCTGCCTCAGCAGAGAGGAGCTTTTCCAAGCTCAAATTAATAAAATCATACTTGAGATCATCAATGGTCAAGGAAAGACTAAGTGGACTTGCAGTCATTAGTATTAATAACAAAGTTGGCCAAGCAATACCATACAATGATGTCATCAGTGACTTTGCCTCCAAAAAAGCAAGGAAGGAACGATTTTGAGGCACTGTTGTACAATTCATTGTTGAACCCTTGCTGTTCTTATGTTTGCTTTCCTTATTTAAGTATCTGTTTTTGTAACATTCTATTTTTGATATTAATGTTTGTCTATTTTGGTTTTATTTAAAAAAAAATGCACATTTAATGCACATTTGCAAATAATTTATTTAATATGTTTGTATTAAAAAGGTTTAGTAAAAGAAAGTATTGTAAGTGTTGGGATCTGGAGGCTTTGTCCACTTTCTCCACCAGAGGGCGCACGAGATCTCCTGGGGGCATGAGCTGACTGCAACACCTGTCTTCCATCTGCTCATCAGGAAGCCCTATTTAAGGAGGAGGAGGCTAACACTTCCCTGCCAGAGTGTTTGCCAGTAATGGTAGAGCTAGACCTGAGCCAAACAACCAGATCTGAATCTCTAACTTTTTGTGAACCTGCCTGACCCTGTTTCTCTCTGCCTCACAGATTGAGTCCTGTCTGAAGACCTGAAATCCTGGAGAATTATCTCTCTCTGGAATCTGCCTGCCTGCACTCAGTTAAGCCTCTGCCTTTGCCCTCAGTCCTCTGCCTGCCGACTAGCCTCTGGACCCTCCAGGTTCCCCCCCTGCAGCTCCGCTCCACCTTTGAGCAGGTATTTACTCCAACATCTGAAAACCTGCAGTTTACCTGGATCAACACTAATGCTGCGTTCACACCGGGGGCAGCAAAAGCAGCAAAATCGCGTCTGCTGCTTCATTTTTGCTGCTTGTACCAGTGAATTCTGACGCGCGTCTGAAGCAGCTTTGCTGCTCTCGCTGCGCGGTCCAAAAGTGTGTCTGACGCTCGTTGGGCGGAGCTTCACTATCCTTTCTCTGCCTTGCAGCTATATTTGCTGTTATCAGTGGGAATAAAGTAGTTTTAATATGTTTTTAAGTGAGAAATTACACCTGAAAACTTCATCAGTGGAGTCAGTTCATCCAGATTACAATCCTGCCTCCCAATATTATTTCTGTCGGAGCCGCTCAGACCCCCACATACCAGCGGTGCGCCGACAGAAGGAATCCATTCATCAGCAGCCTCTGGCCGGGTCGCCTCCTCGCGGTTTACCGCTGTGGCTGGTAGGTGTTTTTCATCTAAATAATCCGATCTGCAGGCACCAGAATAATAAAAGCGAACATATTCTGCCGGCAGATGTATATATTTTAAGTTAATTATGCTTTAATAAACTGTTTAAGAGAAGTGATCAGAGCAGTCTGTGTCATCAGCGCTGTGTCTCTCTCCCAGCCAGCTCCCAGATCAGCTTCTCTGATTGGTTGACGCGGCGCGTCGAGCAGCAAAAATTCAATTTTTCCATCTCGAGCAGCAGTGCGTTTGCGGCGCGTCGCGCGCGTCAGATGCCAAAAACGCGCCCGACGCGCTGCTTCGGCTGCTCGAAACGCGCCGCGGGACATTTTGCTGCGCCTTGACGCGCGTCAACCATTGACTTTGCATGTAAACTCACTGCTTCTGTCGCGCCAGCTGCCCCCGGTGTGAACGCAGCATTACTCCTCTGTCCTCCTCAGTGGTGTTCCCCTTGTGACCTGTCTGCCGAGCCAAGAACCAGTTCATACTCATTGTAAATTTGTAAATAAACCTTTGAACTTTTTCCCTGTCTCACGAGTGTTTCTGCATGTGGGTTAGACGCCTTGAACCCAACATGACAGTAAGTAGTGTTTATTTATTTTGTATTAATACATTATCATAGTGTATTCATTTTTTATATTCACTATAACATAATAGTATGACATTTGTGTCAGTAATGTTCTAGTATAGGTGATTCTGCATTGTGGGAGGGGGGGGGCGCCAAATCAAATTCTGCTTAGGGCCCCCAAGAGGCTCGGGCCGGCTCTGGTTGAGGTCCACAAACCGGAGTGAAGACCTGCTGTCTTCTCGCAATCTGTTCCGCGTTGTCCGTGTTATTAACTGCGGAAAAGCACATGGCTAATTTGCATATGCGAGCAGGATTGGCTGGCTCCACTTGGCAAAAAACAGAACATATTTGTGAATAAAGGTTTTGAATTTTAATACTGGACATGTTGAGCCTAAAAACATTTTAGTGTCCATTAGTGACAAAAGAATATTTTATTTTTAATTTTTTTGACACAATTTAAGACCCCCTTTAAATTTTGTTTTTGAGGCTTTCAGGGGGTCTCATGGGTTAACCCCGTATTTCGCACTCTGGTTATATAACGTCTTCCTATGGGCAAAACGACTTGAAGGCACAAACTAAACTGTTCATAATTTATCATTTATGCTACGCCAGCATTCATAACATGTAGGCGAAGGAAACTCATTTTGGCCGCATTTATCTGCAAATATGTGAGATATTTTTTCTTTGTTTCCTCTTTGAAATTGTGCTGCAGTCAACCTGTTAAGAATCAAAATGACAAACAAATACTTTTCTTTCTTTGATTAGTGAGGTTGATTAGTTAGGTTGTTCAAATGACAGACATACCATTCTCGATGTGTTTTTATGGTTAAATTTATTCCACCGGGCGTTAAAGAGACATTACATTAAAAAAAGTGGTAGTCACCTGACAAGAGTCCTTTCCACCTTGTTGAAGTCCAGCACACAAGTAATTATTTGTGTCCAGGTCTTCAAAGAGTAGAAGATATATATTGAATAGGTCCTGGTAGTAGCATGTGCATCTGTTGTTTCCCACTATCGGTACCTCTACTTCCTGCAGAGTAGAAGTTTGGCCAGAATCTAGTAACAGGGATAAGAGGTTTAGACTGAATCAACAAGCAGTATTGTCAGAGAAAACAAATATTTTGTAACTTACCAGTGACACCAAAACCTGTTACCAAGCTAGTAACCCCATCATGGAAAGTGCTGTTTTCAGAAGCTAGGCAGACTGGCTGTATGTAGTTAGTAAAGTTAATAGGAGCCGAAAGCTTCAAGAGACAGATGTCGTTTTCAGATGTATAACTGTGGTAATCAGGATGGCAGATGATTTCAGAGAGTTTTCGAGTCAATTTATTTGGGCTAGAAACATCTAGCTGTGAAACGCCAAGATGGACATCTGTGTGGTAAAGATCATCTCTTTAAGGAAAAAAGAACCAAAAAAATAAATTAATAGGAATCAACAGATAAGAGAAAGATTACTGTTTTATGTACTAACCTAGTTTCAACAAGTAATGAAACCTTTGATAAAATACATATGTACTTTGTGATTTAATGAATAAAAGATAATAAAGTAAAGACAGCACATTTAATAGTCTAAATCTAAATTAGCCATAAAAGCACTACATTTAAGATTAAACTGCATATACAGCACAGTTTAGATCAGAGGTCAAATTAATATTTGATTGTGTCCAAGTTTCAGCTATGTTTGGGACCTATTTCTTCATTACTTAATCCACATTGTGCAGTGTACCAATAACTGGCACTAAAACACTCACGGTATAATGGTTTTCTTGTGATTCTCTGGAAACAAAGGTTTTAAATGCTGTTGACTTTTTGTTTTGGTTAACTTAATTTTGATTCAATAAAAGAATAACTACCACCATTTTTGACAAATGGATTTTTCTTTTACAGTGTTGTTTTTATTACTCTGACCAAATAACAAAGTCTGGTAACCATTAAACCAATGAACCAACTCACTAAAAACCTCTCACCTGTTTATGCAGTGAGCAGCTGTCAGCACCCATTGATCATTAATCAGCGACCCTCCACAGGAAGAGTCATTTGTAGTGAAATATACCTGCCAGGGCCAGGCTCCTGGCTGGGCATCTTGACCCCCAATGATTCTGGACCCCTTTACCGCTACATTACCACAAACTAGCAGCAGAGAATGAGAAAAGGCCAGAATGAGTTAATGTGGAAGAACAGCTCACACCTATCAATGATCTTAGTTTGACATAACTCAGCTTTAGTATTTAGATTTATTTGTATTGACATTTCTATGGGTGATTTTCCTATGTTGATAGCTCTGGTGTTCTACTGTGATTTATACTACTTGTTCAGTGATCAACATACCGTAAATCCTCTAATATTGGTCTGTATTCCATTAGGGGCTCTAACAATGGCCGGTCTCGCTGTCGGAGGAGATAAATTATGGCCTGACTCGTATACAGTTCGGGGCTTTAATTAGAACCAATTATGTTTCTGGGAAGTCCTCAAAAACTTGTGATAGTAACATACAAGTACCACAGAGGGGCAATGTTTGCTAACGAATCCAAGCCATGAGCATGGGAAGTCCCATGATTACATAAGAGATTGTCTTGATCTGCAAGTGATGAGGAGATTATGGGGAGAGATGAAGAGGAGGGGGAAATTGTCGATGATTAAACAGAATTGGAGAATTTTTTATTAATTTTTTTTTACTTCAAACTAAACAAGACAATTTGAGTTAGGGGCAAGGTGATTAAATCTATAAGATGCCTTTTGTTATGAATAATTACAACCATGGAAAATGTTTACAATGCACTATGTTTGCTTTGTGGTGAAAAGCGTTAAAATGTCACAGTGTAGTAGGTCTTCATTGCTCTGAATTCCCCTTGAGATATATGATACCTGTAGCCTACTTCCACTAACCTAAAACAAATAAAATGTCGCTCTGATGGCAAAACAGTTTTTGTCCCATTTTTTAAAAACTTTGTTTCGCAAGTCAGTTTGGCAAAGATTCCATTCTGTGTAGGTTTTTTTTCTCCATATTGCTGTGCAGAAAATTTGCCTGGAGGCTGCTTGAAGATGTCTGAATTACAGGTATTTGTTGATAATGTTCTGTATATTGTTATGGTAACTGTACTTTTTCAATTAATTAACCTAGTATTTTATAGGTTCAAATAGACACAAAATCTATTTTTTATTCATTCCACTGGTTGTCTGTTTAGCTCAAATAGAAATAGAGGCCTGCCTCCAATTCTGGCCTCCTTCCAATATTTGGCCTGGACCAAGATGCACCTGAGTGAAATGGAGGCTCCGTCTTATATTAGAAGATTTACGGTAGTTGTAGAAATAGTAGTCTGGTAAACAATAATTAGATTGTGGTCATTTTATCACTGATATTTTGTATTATCATTCTGTATTTAAATGTTACTTTGAATTTCTGCTTTTCTCTGTACAAAATAGCAAACTTTATATAACATTGGCAGTGGCCTGACTTACAAAATTGATGTACTGTTCTATTTTATCGAATACAAAAGAACATCTTAATTGTCCAAACATTTCTGCAATCTTCCTGTTCAGTGCATGTCAAAAGACAAAAGAAAACTTCATAAACATGTTGCTTACCCAGGCCCTGTGATTGACAACCTGAAATGCCAAAGAGACAGACATGTTAAGTTAGTCACCAGCATACATGGTTAATAAGAGAAGGAATTACATAAAGTACTTTTGATTCATTTAGTTGCAGGAAGGCACAGTAAAACAGCATGCTCAAAACTTTTTTACAAATGTGAATACATTTTTCTCATTCTTTAACATAACATTTACCGTAGTTGTTCATTACAGTTTTTAGATATTTCTTTGATATAGTGTTTAGACCATTATACATTAAAAGTTCCAGATCATCAAATATACTTCTACATTGAACTAAGATGGCAGAAGCAAGAAAAAGTATTTTCTTTATCTGAATTTCATTCATTAGCGGAAAACAGAAAATTTAAACCAGCTGAGGCTACTTTAATGAAAAATTGCATCACAATATGTTTTATTGGTTGCATCACCTTTGGTGGTAATAAGAACCTATAACTGCAAATCTAACATTTTAGGTTTCCTTGTTTTTTTCTTTTTTAACTTCAGCCAGTTTGAATGGATTTTGAGTGTTATCCTAAATAATCTTGTTATGGTATATTTATTATTAGATTTAAATCTGGACTTTGACAAGGTCTTTCCCAAACCTTTATTTCTTTACCATTTTGTTTTGCTTCATAAGTATGTAAGTAGAAGGTCATGATCTGATCAATAATTTTTTTGTTTGAGATCATTTTATTTTTTATTTTCTGGAGAACTCACCAAACTCTCAAGATACATCAATTGATGTTTATAATTTGTACTTTTTTGCTAAGTGCCGAGATTGTGTACATATAAGAGTCTTGCATAGGGCAGGTACTAATAGCTACAGGTCAAAAGTAAACCTGTATTTTTTTATGGGTACTAATAGTGTGTAATATGCTTCCCTTTGTGGCATCAAGTGTCACTAGTGAATGAGATTTTTCGCCAGCTAGAATTAAGCAAAGTAGAAACAAAGTTAAAGCATTTCAACAAAGCCACTGACTGTGTATTAAATAATTTTTCATCAACCTACCTCAGCACATTTTATAAAAAAATGGAAAAGATTGGAATAAGTTAATTTGATCGTTGAGGTATTTTTGGCCTGAGTTAATGCTTCTGAAAGAGTTGTGTTGCTCAATCCATGTTGTGAATTTTATTCTTAAACTGGCTTTCTTTTATTCAATGTAAAATTGAAGAGTTGTTTTAAAAGAGGTTTTGTTTTGGTTAATGAATTGCATAAATACAGGTATGAGTGTGTTTGATTTTGTGGAAAAAAGAAAAGGCATTTTGGCCTTTGTCTTGTTTACTGCTAGTCATCCGTTAGAACAGAGTTATCCTGTTGCTCACTGGCACTTAAATGCCTCTGTTGTTAAGACAGTAATTTGCTGAAACTACAAGCATAAAGCACTTTGCGACTAAAAGCTTTAAATGAAAATCAGCAGCTATGTGTATCCATTGTAATCACGGGCCAGGCCGCAGTCTAATACTCACAAGTCCAGATGGGATTTTAAACTCGAGAACAGAAAAGACTGCAGGTAAGAGGGATTGGGTCCCGGTTCTAATGTCAATGCATGCGGATGCATACAGGTTTGAACAAACGCAATATGCACAACTCTGGCTCAGCTCAGGAGTGCTCAATGGGACTGCTCATAGAGAGAGAACAGTCTAGGGTGGAGATCTTCAACAGGGATCTGTGACCCCTAGGGGGTCCAGAGAGGTACTGCATGGGGGTTGCGAAGGTTTTGGTAGATTAGACTTTTTTTAATATCCCCCCAGCAATTTTTTCCACTAATTGAAATGTCATTAAATACACATTAACATGAATTCAACACACTGTAGTAAACGAAAAAGATGAAAAACAAAAAAGATAAAGTCATCAACACACACATTCAGCAATACACCGGAGCTCTTTCAAGCTGGGCACCTGTCAACAAGAAATCAGAATCCGAAATACCTTAATAATCTCAGGGAGAAATTACTTTCGTTACATGACTCCATCTGTAATAGAGTGACTACAGGACCAGTTTTATGTAACAAAATTTTATATATTATATATAATGAGGGGGTCCCCGCTCCATCAGTTTGGGAGTCCTTGGCCTGGAAAACATTGAAGACCCCTGGTCTAGGGTGTGGATATGGAATGTTCATGCTCTGTTGTCCACAGTGAGACGCCACACACAGGTAAAGACAATCCAACATGACGGATTTTCCCAATATGACATCAGAGGGGTCCCAACATACTTTCTAGCAGATTGGTTTAATGTTAACACACCACACAAGGTAGCATTATCTCGTCAGTTAACACTCCCTTCTCAGAAAGGGAAGTGCGGGACAGAATTCATTAGTATTATCTTGCTATTATATCTATTATCTTGATACCCACCTTAAGAGGAGACGTAATTTTTCACACCAGTGTAACTATCCAAGCCCAGAAACAGTTGCCTGTCTAAAGTCAATGCTGATGTCCTTAGCTCTTGGCATTGTATTGAATGTGTTTGCCTCAGTGCATTATACTTACAAAGCATGCTATAAGTGGTTAGATCTGCTTTTGTAGTGATTTAGGAGTAAATCTGATTACCATTATCAGCCTGTTTCTAAATTCCAGTCAAGTGGCATCTACTTAGTTTTTGAGCACAGGCTTTTCCAATATTGGTTTTGCTTTTGATCTTTAAATCACTGCTGAATCTGTTTATTAACTAGCTGGCCATTTCCAAAAGTTAATGCTACTTTCAGACTGAGGAAACATTTTGGTAAAATTGTCAGATTACGGTAGTTAGAACTTAAATCCGTCAGTCACATTTTCTTTTTGGCTTCTTTTGGATCTATTTGTTTTGGTGAATTATATAACAACTTATACAGTACAAGTAAAAAAAAAAAAAGTGTTATTATTGATTAAATTAAATGGGAATGTAAGCTACAATACTTGTACATATTCATAATGATAAGTCAACCAGTTAAAATTATTTTGTAATAAATTGCATACATATTTGATAAATTGCAAAGCATATAATTTATTATTCTTAACCAAAATGCAATCCATATGAAAATAAAAAATTTAAGTCCATTATGTTTTTCCATCATGTTGAGATGAATGTGTTCAGTGCCATTAACAATCATGCAAGTTTACAAATGAAAAATTAACCATTAACTCTTACCATTGCAGAAGAAAATGATCACCCCTAAGTACCCAAACAACCTTTGGAGAGTCATTTTCAGAGTCCTGTAAGATCTCCAAGTCTTAGACCAAAAATCCCTCTGATATAGATAAATGTTCAGTTCCACTCCAAATGCTATTTTACACTTGAACGTTTTATACCAGCATCAACCTTCTTCAAGCAGATGAAACCTGATAGTCCTGACGTCAAACTTCTGTTGGTATTTTGCAAACAATAAAAAGATTAACACTAAAGAAAGCTGTTTACTTTGATCCTCGAAGAGGGTTAGAATGTGTTTTTGCTTGCTTGTACTCAATAAAGATAGACTTAACTGGGTATTTTCTTCCTAAAGTAAGCAACTTTCCTAGTCTTATATTATAACCTTTACAACTTTTTACACAATAATTAAGTGGCACCTTAGTTCCTACATTTGTTAAATGATTTTTAAAGATTTACATAAAGGTCTTTAACAAGGATCTTGATTGACTTTGGTAGTCAGTTGACTGAGAAGTATCTATTCCAATGAGCATACACCATTTTTTAATCCAAACTTTTTTTTTTACAGTTTTTATATTGTTTATTATTCGCATTATTTTGCATCAAAAGTTGGATTTTTGCACAAGTTGCTTTCATCACAGCTGTATGTTCTACCTTAATCTATAAAACTACAACATGTTTGGCTAACCTGTTTTGTGTCCTCTCCTTGGTGCCCTTTTTACAAATAATGTCCAAAATCCTAAGCTGTTAATTCTTGTGTAGTCAGTCAAAGGTTTGATATCATGGTCAAGACACTGGGCCGGATTTATCAAGATCCAATTTTGCGTGCGGTAATTTGCGCTCGCAAATTGGAATTTTGCGCGAGGGGCTGAACCATGGTTTGCGGGTGATTTAACAAGAGCGATTGCGTAACTGGTGGCAGGTGCAAAACTGTTGGAGACGCCCTATTTAAATGATGGTTTTGCGCGTTTTGTGGTTTGCGGCAAAGTAGTTTGTAAACTTTGGCAACCTTTATCCTAAGGTGGTATGTGCCTGAATTTCTACTTCATCGCAGTAAAAAAAAAAACAGGTGTTTTGTATCGGCCTGTAGAAAAATGCACATACCAAATGGCTCACAAGAAGTGACTGTGGATAAGATGACTGCGCGCTGCATCCCCGCAGCATTGCCATGTTGCTCCACAGGCGCAAGGCCGGGGTTCTCTCCGTTAGGGCGTCAGGGCATTTAGAACGTCGGACAGCACTTCTGAAAAACGAGATTGGGAGATCCCAGATGCAAAAAAGTGCAATGTTGCAAGGAGTTTTGTGATATCTGGTATCGCGTGGGTCCTCCTTGTGGCTGGGTCCAAATCCATTCGGAGTTCCCCCAACAGCTCCAAAATGGCAATGCTGGATAAACTATATGTTTTGATGATCTTTTCCTCGTTCATTCTTAAAATATTCACACGGAGTGAAAAAATGCGTTCTCTGCGTCTCCTTGCTTCATTTCGATGTCTCCTTCTTGCGACAATAACCGCTGCCATGTGTGCGCAATTACGCATACAGACCATTTGCACCTTCTTTTGAAACGTGTTAAATATAGAGTGAGATACCGTTAGCAAAATTGCTTTCAGGTTGATAAAGCACTTTGCGAGTGCTAAATTAATATATTTACACGTTCTCCTCCCACAAGACGCACTTTTGCGTGTAAACGCCCAATATTGAATATTCATTGCAGAAAAAGTACTAAATGGATAAGAGGCGCTATTTAGCACGTTTTAAAGACCAAATCCTTTTAGCACGCTGTAATTGATCAGTTTGTACATTTTTTAGCGTGCGCAGTGAAATAGGTCACGTTTTTATACACGCAAACCTTTGATAGATCCGGCCCACTGACTTTTAGGTGATGAAGACATGGTGAAATATTACAGACAATTTCTGAAATAACGGGGATGACCAGATGTCCTGATTTATCTGGGATAGTTAAGTAATTTTCACTTTCAAGCTATCCCACAAACCAAAGCAGTATACCGCTTTTGACTGCGTCAAATGATCAAAAGAAAATCAAATATATATATTTCCAGGTGCCTTTACTAAATGGGAAGAGGGCAGAGCCACAGTTGTTGTCATAAGACCTGCACTAGTGCCTACCCTACATACCCTATAATCTACAATGATGGAGACTTTGGTCAAAGAAACAAAAACAGCTGCCACAAAAAAGATTGATGAACTATTTAAAATTTGGCAAGGCAATAATAGGTGTTTCTCAGTGAGCTTTTCTGAAGTTTGCCGAAGTAATTTTTAAAATTTGATAAAACAGGTACATGATGTAAAGCAACACTATAAAAGTAAGTCACATAAGAAATGTAATGTTGAAAAAGCCACATCTGTCCTTCATATAGATCATAGTTGTCCCACATTCGATTTTATGAGATGTGGTCACTCTATAAATTATCCATATATTACGAAATATATAATGGGTGTTTCCCATTCTTAAATGTGATTGGCTGAGCCGCTTTCCTTGGCTGTTGTAAAATAGAGTGCAACCAACATTTAGATCCAGTATGACCACTGCAAACATTAGCCCTATGCTAATGTCAACTGGGTAGCGCCACCAAGATATTCTATAGTAATCGCAGCCGAACAACACATGCTAGTCTGATCGATCATAAAAATCAGTATCTGTTGATCACCAATTTAAGCATCAAATTCATAAATCCTTTAATACTGTTGTCTAACAAACATTAAGATTTTATTATTAACTATAAAATGAGGGAATGAGAAAGTACCATGAGCAAAATGGACGACTGAAAAAAAAATGTTGAGAAAGGATGAAATAAGATATGCTGATAAGAGGTTTGTAGGTGGCTTTTAAAGAAGGACTGTTTCGTCATCCTACTTTCTGCCTGGTGCGCTCTCCTGATCCTCAGTTGTCCTTCTTTCACTTCCAGCTGTTAGTCTCTAGTGTCTAGGCTCTGCCAGCTCTCACTTCTTCCTGTTCTGTCTCCATGACGGGCTTTTGATGTACATCTGTCCTCCTCACAACCAGCCGCAGCCCCTTTCCTTCGCATTCAGGACTCTGTTTGCCTGGTGGACTTATCCATTTTTCAGCTGTCCTCTTTCAATCTTGCGTACTTAGTATATTTAACTAGCCAAAGCCAGCCGTAGCCTTCAGCACTCTTTTTTTCCCCGACAGGTTTCTCTGATGTACCGCTGTGCCACTGAATTCTCTTCCTGAGCAAGCAGCGGCAGTTGTCACCTCTACCGCTTTGGTTTCTTAGCTCCAGAGAGAGCATGGCTGGATGGCTGAACAGTCCAGCTAGCATTGCCATAGTTATTAGCAGAGCATTGCGATTGTTCAAGGACGGAGTGACCAGACGTCCCCAATTTCCGGGGACAGTCACCATTTTTGACCACCTGTCCCAGGCTTAACCTCTCCCTGGAAATGTCCCCTATTTTACCATTTCATGAAAGAGGGGGGAAATGCTGCATATAGACTGTTGTTATGGTCAGAAAGCGTGTGAACATGTTGTGTGCAGTAACAGCTATTATGGTAGCATTTTGCGCTGCTGTTAAACAAAGATGATTATAACATTGCACCACTTGTTGGACTGTAATGATCCTTATTGGAAAACTGGAACACTGATGAGAAGAACAGTTGAACAGATGGAAGAAAAATCTACTTAGAGTAAAGCAGAGAGCAGACAGAAGTCAGAAGAGGGCTAGAAAGAAAATAATGTAGACTGAAGGAAGACGAAGACTAAATGGACCAGATGTTTGTATTTACTTTTTTGTTTTTTCTATTCCTCATGTCATTCTCCTTTTAGGCAGAGGCAGAGCTCTTTAGGCCCTAAAAATCGGAGCTCTACTAACCAACCCCTTCAGTCCCACTCTGAACCCAGAGACACTGTTCTAGTTTTCTATAAAAAACACTGTCGATTTATTCGTTTTATCGTTCTTGAGAAAATATTACCAGTGTTAAGAGCCATAATCCTGGCTTTTAAACATGATTTTCGTTGTTTAAATATGAATACACTTGTAAAAATAAATGAAAACATTTCTGTCCCTGTTTCCTAATTTCATATTGATGAAATGTACTTTTCTTATCTGCGAGCTGGAAATGTCCCCAGATTTGATTTTAGAAATCTGTTCATCTATACTCCTGCTTGATGAGTTAACATTAATGTCTGTAAATGTAATATACGAGTTCAATGAATATGACAAAAAATGACTCTAGATAGAAAAAAAAAATATTCTATTTTGAATGGGACACTAATCACTTCGGCTGAACTTTTAGATGCCTTAGCTTCTAACTGTCTTTGGCTGTGTCAGAATGTCCGCCCTAACCACTATATAGGGCACTATATAGTGGTTAGCTTCCCACGCAAAGCATCATGGGATATTGTGTGACATCAGCCTCATGTCGGGCAGCAACAGCAGCGAGAAATAACTAAGTGGCACATGCACTGTGGAGTTACGTTAACAACAGGGAGCAAAAAAAAAGTTTTCATCTGTCCGAATGGTCAGTTAACAGAGTTAACTATAAAGTCCACTATATAGTCTTTGTTCTTTACAAAAGGAAGGGAAGTCCATCTGGTTCACACATATGATTTAGAACAGATTTCAACAACACGACTCAGACTGTTTTTATCTTTCAATGTGAGGCAATTTTTGAAAACTGAAAAGGCTCCTCATCTGATGTTACCAGCTACACTTTTTTTTCTCTAACCAGAACCTCACCTTGTGTGCTTTCATTGACTCTGGATGTGAGAGTAATCTCATTGATTCTAACCGGGTCCAACAATTACAGATCGAAACCGTTCCTTTATCCAAACCTCTCAGAGTATCCGCTATTGATGGAAAGAAACTCCTTCAAGTCATTCATCAAACACAACCTCTAGAACTTTTGATCTCTGGAAATCATCGTGAGACATTAACTTTTTTTGTTTTTCCTTCTGCATGCTCCCCCTTGGTGCTGGGATTCGAGTGGCTGGAACGACATAACCCCCATATCAAATGGGCTGAACGCCACAAGAAAGAAAGATGGTTCCCTACGACCCTGTATAGATTACAGAGGCCTAAATCAGATAACCATCAAAAATAAGTACCCCCTACCATTACTGGCATCAGCATTTGAACCTGTTCAGGGTGCAACAGTTTTCACC